TGATAGAGAACTCAACTGAGCTTGCCTGTCTCATGGAAGACCGCGGGGTCTGGAAACCTAATTTTGCTGATTGTCGACTGCTGTCAATATTGATTGATTGATTGACTGACTGAATGTTTGACTGATTGATAAAAATAATCGTAAGGGATGGGGTTGGAACCCATTGATAACGAGTGTATAATCGATGTCTGTCGGTGAGAACACTGTGTTTTGTTATTTATTTATTTATTTTTATTTATTTATTTATTTATTTATTTATTTATTTATTTATTTGGATGGTAATTGGTGGCTGGAGAGAACTCAGTAAAAATGACAGTTGTCTGTTGTCAACGGGCTCATCTCTCCAGTGAGAATAGATCGAGGCGTTTAATCCATTTACAAGCTGAAATGAACAAACAAATGAACGGATGGGGAAAAAACAATGGGATGATTGTTTTAAGAAATTAAAGCATATTAAAGGCAAGACTTCTTTAACAAAAGGAACAGTTTGATAATTTAGGTCTAATACTTCACAAACAAAAACAAAAAAAAAAAAAAAAAAAAAAAAAAAAANGAAACCTAATTTTGCTGATTGTCGACTGCTGTCAATATTGATTGATTGATTGATTGACTGACTGACTGTTTGACTGTTTGACTGATTGATAAAAATAATCGCAAGGAATGGGGTTGGAACCCATTGATAACGAGTGTACAATCGATGTCTGTCGGTGAGAAAACTGTGTTTTGTTATTTATTTATTTATTTATTTATTTATTTATTTATTTATTTGGATGGTAATTGGTGGCTGGAGAGAACTCAGTAAAAATGACAGTTGTCTGTTGTCAATGGGCTCATCTCTCCTGTGAGAATAGATCGAGGCGTTCAATCCATTTTCAAGCTGAAATGAACAAACAAATGAACGGATGGGGAAAAAACAATGGGATGATTGTTTTAAGAAATTAAAGCATATTAAAGGCAAGACTTCTTTAACAATAGGAACAGTTTGATAATTTAGGTCTAAAAAAAAAAACAAAAAAAACCCCGCAATTTATTTAACGCAGACAAGGAAAGCGGATCCACACTTGTACATGTAGATTTAGCTAGATCGTCTGATTATAACGAGCAATTTAAGAAGCCATTCAACGCCTACGGCGGAGAAAGAGGAGATGAAAGACGAACTCACAGATAGCTAACTCTCTACCCAGTATCATATTACAAAAGCCACTTGTTGGATTCCATTTTACAACGGTTATGTCCCATTAAATCAGAAAATGATGCCCTTTGTTGTCCCCCCAATTCATTCAACGCTAATTGCAGGTATCGGATTATATACTGTTAATTCAATCCTGAGATGCGTCAGTTTCGCTCAAACGTGCTGAAATATCATTGTGAGCAAGGGGGGAAGATATAGCTCGTCTACCTCTCTGGCTGTTGTGATAGTGCGGAACTTTAGGTATTTCCCGTGTATCGTTGAAGGAATTTCCACTACATTACTCAGCCCAGATGATTCAAACCTTTCTCTGGGGCTGCAAATGTTTACTCCTACTGAAGTGTGGGTTTGTTCAGAACGGATTCGTTGTTTACGTGAAGCCAACAAGGAGTGCAGGAGGTGAATCTGCGGTTTGACGGCGGGGGTGTAGGCGACCATCGGAATAGCCAGGGCGCTTCCATCCGAAGTTTTCCGGCTGGTGATTCTGCGGTGGTAGAAGGAAGCGAAGATAACCGGCAGAATTTTGCTGTTTTTATCTCGGTATAGGCAGCAGATCTGCGAAAGGAGGTACGAGAGGAAAGCAAGGACTCTAGCTTCAACAACCAAAGTAGGAAAACGTCGACTGCAGATGAATTAGCCCGGAGAAAACTTAGGAATTTCACGCCGGTCAATTAAGTGCAAGAGAGAGAGAGAGAGAGAGGGAGAGAGTCGGAGAGAAGAAGCCAGTTTCAGCGTGGTAGCTCCCTAGGTGGAGTGAAAGAAAGAAATTGACGATGGATCGGAAACTTACGATTGTCTGCTTGCTTTGGGCTGTAGTTTACATCACCTGTGTCGGAGCAACTGGTAGGCAAGGTGAAAAGAAATCCCCAAACGTAAGTAAATGCATGCACTAAATACAGAAACTTGAAGGAATGTAGTTAATTCGTTCTCTGACACACGTACTCGCCTCGGAGGCGATGTCCTTCTGTGCTCTAGTTGATTTGAAAGTACAACGGGCCATTGTTTTGAGTTCAAGACTGAAGCTAGTGCTTGCTGGTTTTAATGAAGCCGAGGTGTAAATACTTGAGAATTCTTAAATCTTAATTAAGAGCGTCATTGTTACTAGGTAACAGGTTGGGGTTAGCGTTGATGGTCATTTTGTTTAACTTTCAGGATCGTTAATGTTATGAATTAATTCACTTTGCAGTTGCATATTTACAGAAAGAGAGAAAGAATTTTGATTTTCATTAAAAGTGCAAATCACTACTGAGTTGAATTTTAGCTGTTCTTACTGAAATAAAATAAAAAAATAAGAATGGGAGGGGTAATAGAAGGAAGTGAAACTGAAAATTAAATTTCAGTAGTTGAAATTCATAGCAGGGAAGAGTGGGTGTGTCAGTTTACCACAGCAATAAAAAGAAAGTAAGTGTTAATGTTAAACCTAAACCTTTATAAACATTTAAATGGAATCCAGATATAGGCCTTTTATTAATTGAAAAGGAAAAAAATTGACAGAAAATCTGGAATGCCAGTCTGTAGCAGTAGTGTGTGTGGACTGTTACTATACCATGATGGGTTCTGAAGGCTTTCGGCTCAACAGAGAGTGTTAATCCGCTGC